GAGAAAAAAAAGCCAATTATCAAACTTTTTCCGTATTTGAATATTTGTTGTTCTTCTGATTATTTATACATGGAGCAAGATATCGATAGCGATTTTAAAACATCCCATACTAAAATTTCTTAACGTCTCGTCTAATAAATTAAGCATAGTAATAACGGCTGTTTTAAAATCGATATTGATAGCTGGTTCCATGTAAAATAAATTGGGATATGCAATACGTTTTATGAAAAAAGTCTTTATTAGTGAAAAACGAGACATTGCATAGACGAAGTTTATGTTTTAAAATTGAAATCGATAGCTCATTGATTGTAAAGTCAAGATTATGTAACACATTTAACCACAGAGTGCCTCATGTTCCAAAAGGGCATCCACTTACTTTATGTAAGGTTATCTACCTAAGCGGGTTGACCAAATAAGGAGTATAAAAGCACTTTTAACTTTTTGGAATTTGAAGCAAATATGGAGATTGAAATACCTATATTGCTGGAATTCTATTGCTAACTTCATTCCTCCACTCATTCCTTACTTCACGACTGTAGAAAAGTTTTTTTTTTAGATTTTTAGCTTTCCTACCATGCTACCCCACACTTTTCCTAGTTTGAAATAGAAATATTCACTTTAAACACGAAATTTAAATTGTCATTACCGTTTTGTCCAACTAAAATTATAACCAAAGAATTACAACTTTGAACAAACACTGGCAATTTCGCTTTAAGTTAAAATTTTGTATTTGAAATCGAAATCGAGTCAATGTCACTAAAAAAATCGTAGGGGGTCGTTTTGCGTTTTCATAAGATACCTTCCCGATTTCAATTTTTTATTGTATTCAATTTTGAGATTTTTAATTTACTTGAAAATCTGATGTTTTTATACCATTGAAAAACTTTCCATACCTATTCTAAAGATGCAAGGATCATCCTCATATTTTTGTAATATAAATTCATTTTCAATTAAATAAATAAACACGTACCCTTAAATTATTCATTTACATTATGATAAATAAATAAAACATTTATGTTTACAACGCTGCCGTACAATTAACTCCCCTTTATCGTATACGAAAATTAGTGCGATCGTTTATTTAAAAAAGTGTTGAATTATGCATATGGAGTTATCAAAACAAAGTGGGCATGAGTGCTTTTCGATTTAGTTTTTAGCGAGCGTCGAGAGTGAATGTAAGTTATCTGCGAGTCGGAATGAATGATGTAAGCGCCCTTTTCGCCGACAGTGTGTACCATTGCCTGTGGCGTCCGTTTTATGATTAATGTCGGCGAGCTTGAAGGCCCATTCAGGACCGGCTTTACTAATTCACATTTCGAGATTTATTAGCGCGTTCTCCATTTATTTGGCCTTTAAACATTCAAAGTTTCCGCGAAGGCTTTATAAATAATGTCGCTCGGACCCTTCAAAGTTAATAATTTACAGCTTTGGGAAAAACTGGAGCGGAAATGTGTGTTTGTAGGCACTTATCTCAAAAGTGCAAACGTTCGAGGCATCGTTTTTTTTTCTTAACCTGCAGAAACACTCGAGATCTACGCGAAGCAGCTTTGATAAAATGCAGGATGGCACTGACATGTTAAAATTGAATGATGCATTTGCGTTTATTTCGAAGGAAAGTCAAACGACAAAAATTTTACAGAAGTCGAATTTGCGTAATCTTATTTGTTAAAACGATATCAGATCCGAATTGGACCCAGGAATGGTCCATCGTGAGAAGATTCGTTCATTGAGGATTGGGCCCTGCTGATTATTCACATTCGAAATATTCGCGACTATAAAATTCCAAATTAATTCGTCCTTTTCATTTCTGTTGGTGAATTTTCCGTTAAGGTAAAACTAATCTGGACACGACGTATCGGGGGATAATTCTTTGGGTTTCTGAAGGTGAATTTTCTTTGCGAGCAATAATTCCGAGTGCCCATTCGGGGGAACACCTTACGTAGCCGAATTTTGCAGAGAGACCAGGTTTCTTTGGAACTGTAGAGCAACTTTGAAAGGGCATGCATGGTCCATAGTACACGTGAAATTAATTTGCTTTAATTTCGACTTGAATTCAGCAAAATTCTAAAATGAAACTCGGAATTTTGACCGTAAACTTGAACTGTAATAGGATATGGGCTTCAAATTTGAAGTTCAAAACTATCAAGGTGCAGAAGTGCCACTTGGAGTTTAATTTTTAATTTTCTACGTTTATTTCGAAGTTTGCACTTTATCTCCGAAGTGCAAGGGTTCCAGGCGCACGTCGCATCTTTTTCGGTGATGTACCTTTCTGAATCTGTAGAGACGCTCGAGTTCTCCCCAAAAGAGTAAAAGCGTAGGAGAGCACTGACATGTAAAAATTGAATGATGCATTAAAGAATACGCGCAACGTTTATTTCGAAACGAAAATGATTCGACGAAAGAAACAAAAATTTAAATTTTACAGAAGTCGGATTTGCGTAATCTTATTTTAAAATTGGATTCCTTTAAGATTGTCTTGACTTTGATAGCGATTTGTTAAAGCGATATCCTCTCCGAATCGGGGCGCCATTTCTCAAGTGCGAAACGACAAACGGCAATTATGCTATTACACCTTAGATTTCAACTGTAAATTACAACTATAAACAACGTGCTTTAAAGCAACACACCCGTAGGATAAACAGGTCATACTTCCGGGTGACGGAGAGCTCCCGCCTTCCGGTCGGACGCGCTAATGTGTATATTCTACACGGGAAACTCTTAAATAACATTGATTTACCTAAAGCCTTCGCAACACTTACTGTAAATGCCTCACCAATGACAAATTACGCACTTCTTTAATTAGAGAATGAAATTTTCTCGTGCTAAATGAACGGAGGTGGATGCGAGAAAATGGGATTAGTGCCATAAATGGTGTGGCAAAAAGAATCCGTCATTTCTTTTTTTATACACTTAAAAGGGATGTAAAGCCTAAGACCATCAAGGATTATAGTAACCCGTTAATCGTAGCGGTTGTAGAGAAAGGAAAAAAATAATTAAGTCCAGCTTTGCGGCCATTTTCATACAAATAGTACAAAATTGCCGCCTAGCTCGGAACGTTTCGTTTTAAGCACCCAATTTTCATAACAATCGCACTCATTTGCATCTATAACGCTTCCGCACCTTATAGATATCCCGACTTTATCGTAATTTTGTTTTGTTTTTGTACCCATTTAGGTACTTCATAAAAATATAGATTTTTAAATTTTCTGCAATATTTGTAGTACGGAAGAATTTATATTCTAGGGACGAACACCTTTGGTTTAATTAGCGAAAGCATTCACAGTCTCGTCCAGGAGGTATAAGCGAAAATCTTAAGAAAGTGTCGATTTTTTCGGTTTTTGAACATGCCGGCGGGATCGAAGTGTGTGGGGGTGATTGTGTATTTTGTATTTTAAACATATCCAAAATTTAGAAACTACCGGACGGTTTGTAAGGTAACCCCCTCTGTTCCCTGGATTAATATCTGATATTATATTATTATGCTATCGCACTATTCGCGATTGAGAATCAAATCTCCGTTTAATGTAAAATTGTTAAATAAAACTCGTGTTTTCTGGGGAACTAGTTCTGATTCGTATTTTTCTGTGGCGATCGATTTCGGTTTAAAACCCACCATCAGGCCTACTTGTAATTTGTATAATAAGTTACAACTGCGACTAAGGACGTATTATATTCCCCATAATAGTAATTTTGTTTTTTCAACTGAATACCCTCCATGTTTTTTTTAAGTTTCCACCAAAATTATCTTCAATTTCTTCTTAGGCCAAGTTCATCTCAAGCTTCCATAAAAGTTTCCCTAAGTTTCTCTCAAGTCTTGATAAAAATCCTCCTAAATTTTCTCGAGTTCTCTTCACATTTTCATTGAGTTCCTCTCAATCCTTTCTCAATTTCTTTTGCTATCAAAGTCTGTTCAAGTTTTTGTCAAAGTTCTCCGCAACTTCTCTCTCAAGTTCTTAATTTCCCTTCCGCTCAAGCTTTACTTTACTTCTTGTTGAGCATCGTCTGTTGCTTTCAGATTCTCTAATTCTTCTATGTTTCCATTAAATTTCTCTAAAATTCAATAGTTTTTCCAAGGTTATCTGAAGCTTCTCATTACGTTTTGTCCGAATTCCTCCTTTTCCTAATTTTTTCCTCAAATTCTCCTTAAATTCCCTTCAAATTCTTTTAAACTCGTCTTAAGTTTCTCTCAATTTTTTCATAAGCTGAAGAATATTTAAAAGTTACCATAACACGTACTTTCCCCTATTGAATATTTGTTACCACAAACTGCATAGAGGATTTTGGCATGAATTACTGATTCTTCTACGTGTAGAAAAACTAAACTCTTTTATAATGCGAAAAGATATTGCTGTGGCTAGCACAGATGCCACCCTCACTGCCCAAAATCTTTTCAGCTCTTCGTTTTACGTCTTAAGAATATGAGTACCAAATTTGGTTTCAATCGGTTAAGGCGTTTATCCGAAAATGAAAGTACAGACATAGAGACCGGCAGACGGATCGACATAATCGAGATTTTGTTTGATTCCTGGTGCTCTAAAACGTATATTGCCGTAAAAAAAGTGGGAGATCATTTTTTAGCCCAAGCAATACCTCCCTTACTAACCTGCGCGTTGTAAAAAAATCAGTAGTAAATGTTTCGTTTCCAAATTTGTATTTCATTTACTGCGTCTACATATATGCTAATGTTTTACTTCTTTAAGGGAAGCGATCGATACACGTGTACATATTTTATTTGTTCATTAATCATGTCACTTTTTTTCAGAAGTCCTCCCCTCGTTCTCCTCCGTATAAGAATTAACATTAGCGGGAGGAGGTCGTTGTAGACCCTCATAGGGACAGCTATGTTTCATCACGTCCCATCAGCACCTGGAGCCTGATAACCTTATGCTTTCGTGACTGTAATATCACCTAACCATCTCTCCCCTAGGCTTTATAACATATTCGATGGATAATCGGCCGCTCTTTGGGAACCAATTTTTAATCGCAACATATTGTTTCAGGCCTGCCAGAATCGACGTACCTGTCGGCGGTGAAGAGATTTCCCGCAGCAGCGGAGCCTTCCCTAAGCAACGAAATACACGCGTCGGAATTAGAGAGTAACCATCAAAGGTGCGCCGAATTGAAACAGGTGTGGACGCCGTGTCAGTGCCATTTAGAATTGTGCATCGGATGGTATCCCTGCGAACTAAAGTATTGTAAGGGAAAGGGCGAGAGTAAAAGTTTGTCAATGACCTACCGATGCGGTATAAAAACATGTCGCAAGTGCCATTTATTCTCTTATTACGTGCCGCAAAAGCAGTCGTGTTTATGGGACGAATGACAAATGTGATATTTATTTTATAAAAAGTAATCGCCTTCGAGCTTTTACTGAAAAATCGTTATGGACCAAAATGCCTTAGAAAATCAGCTCTTTCCTTGTGTTTTTAGCCTTACGGTGTGATTCGTAAGGAATGTGTGTGTTTGCGATTGTCAATCATAGCCTCTGCCTCTTAAAAAGCTCTCTAACGAAAGTTGTACAATCCAATTCGGTTTTTTTTTGTTTTTTTTCCCACTTAATGGAGCATCGATTTTGAATCCGACTGACCCTGCTTTTTATCGTCGTAATCCAAATGCAAACGTTTGTCTAACGCAAAATTTTTTATCGTAGGTTAACATTTGTATTAATGCGCTCTTTTAGAGAAAAGTTTTTGTTATCCATACTCTTTTTGGGAAGATTAATTAGGGTTGACCGTTACAGTTATTTTCTTATTGCCCGCTTTTAAATAGAGGCGCAGGTCTCCACTGTAAATACATACTCCATTTTTTGTGTTGGAAAATGTAAATTTAAAACTGTTTTTGCGAACATTTGATAATAAAAATAAAAGTGCTTGTGTTTACGCTTACGTAACGCAAAAATTGGTGGTAGCTTTTGTACGACATTACTGTATATAACATTGATTCTATTATTATTAATAATATAAACTTTCTATCTCTTTAAAAATAAACGAACAAAAAATAATACTGTTGCTCATTTACACGCGCGACCGTTATTAATTGTGAAATTGACATTCTCATTACGCTCTAATATGTATTCATAATGATGGTGGAGTAAAAATTTTATTAGCGTTTAAAACCCCCTTGCTTGTTAACTCTAGATTTCCCAAGAGGTTTTAAACCGCCCATTTAACCGGGCAACAGTATTAATTTGTCTATTTTCATACAATTATTGTTGTTGGGAATAATAAAGGACGTTTTTATTAACTGTTATTTTATTCATTGTTTATGCGTATCTTCTCGCCTTCATTATGCCACACTCTAAACATGAAATTCTAGTACCTACATTACGTTACTTCGGATCAATTATTTTATCTCCGCTTTTGAGGTTAATGTAATTATTGGAAAAATCCTTTTCTGTAAATCTCTCTTGCAACCCACTATGCAAAATGTTATCCTTTAATCAAATGTAATCCCTCGGCAGTGGGTCATTACGTAGGTAAGTGGCCTCGCGGAAATATTTTTAAATAATGCGATTTTAGAAGTTTTCCATTTACATGTAGGTACTAAACAATTTATTGCTTATATACGGTTAGTCCTCAACCCCCACAAACATCAAAGAAACTCACGGTTTCCAACTACCAACCCATATGAAATTTTAATTCGATTAGTGCTAAGTGCAATTTCAGCCTTTCAGAACAGGAAGTCACTGTCTGGAGAGAATACCGAAATTCTTACATTTATCATTATTTTATACCGGATAGTCAGGAGCACGTCTAAAATATGCATAATCGTGCATTTAGGTGGTACATGTCGCTTAATATGCTTCAGATACAGTTCTAGCCAAGTGTTTTTTGCAAAGGAAAAAAAAGCGAACATGACGCAAGATTTTCACATTATCTTTTAAAGGACCATAAAAGTGTCGAGTGTTTCATGTTAGCAATAATTTACATACATTTTGGTATAGAATGCATCAATAGTACATTGAAATACAAGTGCAGAAACGGTATTACTGAATAAGGAGTATTAATGTACGTTAGCGCCGGACGAAAAATGGCAAATGCGGTTTCGCGTGAATTGCTACCCCAATAGTCTAAGCAGCGTTACGAAAAGGAACATACTATTTTCTTGGCTTGGTGTACGAACAAGAGAGTTAACCAATATACCGAAAATTGCCTACTTTATGGAAAGACCAAAAACGCTGTTGGTTTTACAAGATAATGTTGACATATCCAAGTTTGTCATGTTAGAATCGTTCTTGAACGGTAAGTTGGTGGGACATAAGGTGAGAAAATCGCAAGTTTTCACAAGAGAACAAATCACTAAGTTTTGGAGGAAGCGCCTGGTGAAACATTTGTAATGATGAAGGTTTGTGAATTTCTTATTGTCTAAATAATAAGTAAGCATAATTTAAATTACAGGTTGCTCTGGTCCTTGGAGATGGAGTGACTGGAGCTTGCCGTCGGAACGAACTTTGTAAAATGACACAGAACAAGATACAATTTTATTGATAACGATTCCTGGCTCCAAAAATCATGTTCCAAGAACGTTTTCTGTAACAGAAGGCAAAGAAAATTGGATACAGATTTATACCAAATACCGAGCTTTACGTCCCTCTAATGTGCAAACTAATCGGTTTTTTTAAATTATAAGAAAGGTAAATGTAGTTCAATCTATAAGTATAAACACGTTTGGCAAAATTCCACAACAACTGCCAGATCCTTCTGCTTTTATCGGTCATTGTTTGCGCCGGACTTCGGCCCCGCTGCTTGTTAATGCTGGAGCAGATATTCTGAGCTAAAGCGTCATGGAGACTAGAAGTCGTTAATGGTAGCAGATGGCTACATCGATGATTCTTTAAGAACGAAAGTTGAAGTTTCCAAGAAAGTAACTGGTAATGCTTCTGATATTCTGATATCCTTTCCATTTCAAAATCTATTAATCAATTAAAGTCGACAATTCCAGGTGTAAGTATAGGTAATTGTTCATCTTATACGTTTAATATTACCTAATTATATTCATAATATTATATATTATATTCATAATATTAAATAATATTAAATTTACATTCTGTCAGTTATGGGTTCTTTCGCAGCAATTTTGAGGTTAAGTGGTAGAGCGGAGAAGAGCAGTCCCTCAGTATTGCTCTTCAACCGAACTTCGCCTTTGGGGTTGCAGTCTATTGCATATACGTGCATCTGTATCTTTAAACTGTAAAAATATGTACTACCTAATCGTATTTGTCAACTGCTGCATCACCCAATAAAGCTATATTATTATTATAATATTATTATATTAGTAATTAGTGATATTTCATGTATGATTTTTTAGTTGTAGTTTAATTGTAGCTTTTACTGATCGAATGCTACGATTGTTTTATATGTATAAAGAAATTGGAATGAAGCAATACAGTTACACCAATCGTGTTTCTACACTTTCGTAGACAAAATATATTGAAAAGTAGTTTGCTTTTAAAATCGTATTTTTAACTAGTCTGATGATGGAGCAATTAAGACATTTTATGGGCGATTGTCTACAATGAGGGATGTAAGAAGGTTTTTATTGCTCGACTCGACTAACGTATAATAGAGCATTGTTAGTTCGTAGGGCACATAAAATATCCGTAACACTCTTCGTGTCTTACTAAAAAGTTGAGCACCACCAAGCTTCCTTGAATGAACCCAAAATTACAGCGATAGTCAACCAATAATGATTATATGTACTTGAGGAAATAAAACGATTATAAAAAAACATTCGTTTGTTCTCAGAATCTGACAATATCCTTAGTCTTCTTAAAGAATCTTTTAGAAAATCTTCCTAGAAAAACTACTTTAAAACATTCTTGTAATTTTCCTGCCTAGAGATCTGCTTAGATTTTTTAACGACCTTCTTAGAAACTATTTTAGAAAACGACTTCGTGATTATTTAGTCTTTTCTTATGGCAACTTTTTTAAATAATCATCTCTGAAGTCTTCCACGAAATTTTAATCGCAAATTTTAATGAACTCGCGATTGGGAAACTTGAATCTTCTTGCAAATATTGGTCTAGTCTTAGAATCTCTAGAAACCTCAGAAACTTCTTTTAAATTTTAAAAATTACCGTAAGTATTGTACTTACTAGATTTTACTTGAAACCTTTCTGAAAACCTTCTAGTAGCTCAGTTAATCTCTACTACCAAAATATCCAAATAAAAATAAAGCAAACTGTTTTTGAATTTTAAATATCTCCTCGGAGATTTTCTTAGACCTTTAAATAACCTTGCTAGACGCCGTTTTAAAAACTTGGAACATTGTTTGCTCCGTTTAGAACAATGGTATTAAATACTATCATTAGGAGTGTGGATATTACCAGTTGAAAGAGTAACTTGTGAGGGTGCGGTAAAAGCACATGCTAGTAAATTGTTTTTCATATTAAGACCCTAGACCGAAGAAATGAAATAGATTTATTAACTGATCTGAAATCGTGGCACAAAAAGAAGCTATTCTGGCTGGAACCGCTACCAAAGAGGTCCTCTAAGCTGTGATTTTAATTTTAATTTGTTTTAGTTTTAATTGTGAAGTAGAAATACAGTAATGTACTCTACAAATATATTTTTATTATTATTCTTATTATTATTTAATTTGTTAACGCATGGAGCTTTTATTTTTTTTAAAACCGCAACAGATAAAATTTTCGTTTTTTTATTGACAAGATACATATATCTTTTGCCTTTGTTGAAATACACCTACCCTACGCGCAGTTTTTCAAAGTTTACTCACAATTTTTCCGATGCAAGGGTATATCAATAGTTCACTTATTTTAAAATTTTTTTTTTGGACAGGTGGGGAAATGCATTACGCACACTCCGGATAGAAGTCTGGAGTAGTGTGGGACTCTCCCATTATCTGGGTATACCCACTAAAACCCCACCTGAGGCTTCGGCATCTATGGCCATTAGCCTTTATACTTATACTAAGGTACTATAATATCACAGTTTCTGAACACACAACACAAGACAGGCGTGATTACATTTACTTATTTACTACACAAATATACATAAAGACAAAAATTTAAAAATATCACAGATGGTTTGCAATGCCAATTTGTTGGATGAACGCGAGAGTATTTTTACATTGCTCTTCATTTTTGAAGTTATTTTCCCATATCGGGTTTATATTAAATATCACACGTACATTCATATACTGCGGACAAATAGAAATAATGTGATGTGGTGTTAAATTAACACCACATTGTTCGCATAATGGCCGTTCTTCACCTGCCAACAAATACCCATGAGTGAGAGCAGTATGCCCCAGACGGAGTCTGTACAGCCTGATCAAGTTCAAACGTCTAACGTCGATATAGAATAGCGGATCCAGACTAGGTTTGATCCTTTTCAAAGCCGTATCAGACTCCGACCACTGCTCACTCCACCGCTCATAGATTTTACTTTTCACAAGTCCACGCCGTGCAGTAGATGACATACTCGTGAAGTCGATATTCTCCAATTGGAGGTGGTTTAATACCTCTCTAGCCCTAACACCTAACGATCTACATCTGTATAGACGAGCAATGGTAGTCGCATCAGTAAGGGATCTAAAATTTGGATGTTTATCATCTAACCTTACTTTTATATAGTAGTTTGCAACAATCTGTTTCCGGCGAAGAGCTAGAGGGGGAATATTTGCCTCGACGTAGAGCGATGGAACTGGACTTGTTGGATATGCTCCCAAAGAATATCGAATAGCCAGGTTGTGAATGTTATCAAGTTCCCCAAGCAAAGCATTATTGCCACACGTAGAGTACGCTGCACATCCATAATCCATCCTTGATAGGATGAGGGCCTTATATATATCCAGTAGGGTCTTAGGGTGAGCTCCCCACCTATGATGAGCGAGAACTCTCATGATGTTCAGCGATTAATATAAAACATTCCACTTCTCTAGAAGGTCCTTTAAGAAGACTAAGAATAATCCCAAATCGAACTGGTTGAGACCAAAAGTATGTTTCTAAGATTATCAGTAGAAAATAGAAAGAAGACTTCTAATACGATCTCTGAGATTGGATTATTTTGAGGAAAATTCATAAATTTTTTAACCAGGTTTTAATGATTTTTAGTAAAACTCCTATGAAATCAAGATTTCCAGTTTTTTAATAAGAAATTATTAAAAATTTTCTTAAATATGAATTGCTTGGACGATTCCAACAATTCGTATGAAAATTTGTAGGAATATTTCCAAAATAATTCGTTATAGGAAAATATGAGAGGTCGACTAGTAGACACAGA